TATCCAGCCTCAAACACAATAATATCCTCATTTTATTAAGAGGCAGCCGTTCGCTTTCATCCTGTTGGCTAATTCCCGATGGCCGGTGCTCAATGCTGTCCCCAGCGATTCCTCTGCCCCAGGAAGCCCCAGGAATTGTTTCTGAACCGAAAACATAAGCAGCAGATCCAATGATCTCGGCCCCGTCGGCAAGAAAAACTTTCCCCTGCGTGTCCCAGACTCGCTTCATCCTGGACCCCGTTATGGAAACGGGGGCTTTATCAGAGCAGCGTTTTCAGCGACAGTTTTAGAAAAATCCCAGCCAGAAACGATGATTTGAGGAACAGTTATGTGCGTGCATAGCTTACCCTCTTAGAAGCCCATTAGCCGGAATATTAAACTCTGAGCTCTCTGAACTCAGCAGAGAGAGGGGCTTGGCTTTTCTGGCCCATTTGCCCCATCCGAGATGGGACAGGCTACTGGACTTGAGATTTCTTTCTTTTTTTTTTTTAAATTTTTAATTTTATTAATATAAGGAGGCCAGTGAGGTTCGATTTTCTTTTTTTTTTTTTTTTTGAGACAGAGTCTTACTCTGTCACCCTGGGTAGACTGCAGTGACATCATCATAGCTCACTGCAACCTCAGACTCAACAGCAACCTCAGACTCCTGGGCTCAAGGGATCCTCTTGCCTCGGCTTCTTAAGTAGCTGGGACTACGGGTGCACGTCATGACGCCTGGCTAATTTTTCTATTTTTACTAGACGAGGGGGTCTTGCTCTTGCTCGGGCTGGTCTCGAACTCCTGACCTCAAGCAATTCTCCCGCCTCGGCCTCCCAGAGTGATGGGATTACAGGCGTGAGCCACGCCACCCGGCCTTGACTGGAGATTTCTGTGCTCAGAAAACACACCCCTGCCGTTCTAAGCATTTGCCTTCGGATGGGACACTCTCTAACCCTCGCTAAGGCCTGACCTCTGAGAGTTCGTGACTGTGGTTCCAAGCTAGACCTAGTCTGGGAAAGCCGGCATTTGGACTCCCACGCATGGAAAATTCCTAGGTGATTCCTAGGGACATAAACTTAGCTGCTCATTTGAACTTAAATCCGACGGGCAAAACTCAGGATCTCTGCGTGCTGCGATTTGGCAGCCAGACCCCAGGCGTTTAATTACATTGCTGCAGAGAACACTCCGGTGAGGTGCGTCCAACGCAGACAATTATTTTAGGAAAACCACGGTGGCCTTCTCTCCCCGTCACTTAAATCTTGCTTCTCTTTTACAATTCAATATTTCCTGTGTCGAGAGAAAATGGTTTGTTTGCTTCAGAGGACGCGCTGGGAAATGCAGGAAGATGTTAATTATGTGGAACTGGGCTGGCTCTGTGTCTCTTGCACAAATGAGAATCTCTGGGGGTTCTGTCCAAATTGCTTGGGGATCAGAGCCAGGGGAGGACGGGCAGGGCTGCTTGGGCTCATGTTCATTGTTTTTTTGTTTCGTTTTGAAAGAATTGGATTTGTCATAAAAGGAGGTGAAGCTAGTTCTGGATTCTCCTAGAACTGAGGGGTGAAGGTTTTCTTGGGCTACCCTCCTTGTCCTGTTTTTTTTTGTTTTTTTTATTGTGACAAAGTCCACTCTGTTGCTCGAGCTAGAGTGCAATGGTGTCAGCCTAGCTCACAGCAACCTCAAACTCCTGGGCTCAAGCGATCCTCTTGCCTCAGCCTCCTGAGTAGCTGGGACTACAGGTGCGCACCACCATGCCCGGCTAATTTTTTCTATTTTTAGTAGAGACAGGATCTTGCTCTTGCTCAGGCTGGTCTCGAACTCCTGACCTCAAGCGATCCTCCTGCCTCAGCCTCCCAGAGTGCTGGGATTACAGGCGTGAGCCACCACGCCCGGCCCCATGAGGAGAATTTGAGTGCAATTATTACCTCTACGAGGCCAGGTGAGCCCAGGAAGAACCCATCAGGGGTGGGGAAGTGAGGGAGGCAGCGAAGGAAACGTCTGCAGGGTGAGTTAATAAACAGGTTGCCCCTGTGGGCTCCCCTGGGAGACTCCGTGGAACACAAACCTCCGAGTCCTCCCACAAGGAGAGGGAAGAGGGAGGCCTGGTATTCATCGCTTCACCTGTAAGTCACTGTTGAGGATTGCTGGGTGTTAGGTGTCTCCTGCCTGCCCATTTCAAAGGGCAGATGGGCCTGCTCTGCCCACCAGAGAAAAAGCCCTCTATAGCTTTGGTCCCCAACCCCTGGTCCTCAGCCTGGTACCAGTCCGTGGCCTGTTAGGAAAGGGGTCTTGTATCCCCCACACACCCCCGGTCCGTGGAAAAATTGTCTTCCATGAAACCGGTCCCTGGTGCCAAAAAGGTTGGGGACCACAGCTTCTGCAGCGAGTAAGCGTTGCCTCTACCCAACTCCTACCTGGGTGCAAGGAAGGCTGGGGATGTGGGTTATTTGTTCCCCGAGGGAGGAGGGGGGACGTGAATTCCTAACGAGGGAGTTCCCCCAGCTTAGGAAGGGCGTACCTACAGCCCCAAGATGACTAATCACGATAGCTTCGGGTGGTGTTTATGAATGGTTTATTTTTCTTATAAATCAGTGGAGGAGTTGTACTCATCTGTGCAATTATATCGTTTGCTCACATTCCAATAAGCTTAAAAAAAAAACTATTGAGTGGGAGAGAAAAAGGTGGGCTGGAGTCCCCGGGATGGCTCGTAACTCACAGCCCGGCTTCTCTCTGCCGTGGCTCCCGGGCACAGCCTCTGTGGGTGATCTAGTAACGGCCGCGCAAGTGATCAATTATACCGTGTAACACACTTGGGGTTTTATCAGAGTGCCTTCCATGCCCGTGAGAATGCATCCTGGATAGGACCGGAATCTTCCATTTCCCAGCTCTATGGCCGCTACCCGCCATCGCCTGCTTGGATCCGCAAAGTCATGTCTGCCGTGGACGCTCTCTCTTGCCCCCTCCCCGCCTAGCAGCCAGAGGTCACTGTGAACATCCAAGTCAGGGCATGTCCCTCCTCTGCTCAGAACCCTCCATGGCTCCCACCTCTGTCAGAGCAGAAGCCAAAGCCCTCTCTGCCTCGCACGGGCACATTCTGTCCTACCATCTCCTCACCCTCGTCTCCCTCCACTTACCCCCTTGTTCACTCTGCTCTGGCCACACAGGCCTCCTCTGCGTTTTGAAAACGCACCCGGCATGGTCCTGCCTCAGGGCCTTTGCACGTGCTGTTCCTTCTGCCGGGAACACCCTTCCCCAGACGTCCAAATGGCTCCTCCCTCAGGCTTTTACTCAAGTGACACCTAAAGTTGCAACCCTGAGCCCCCCCCCCCTTGTTGCCCCCTTCCCCCCCAATCCTTTCTAATCCACGTTACTTCTCTCTATGATACTAATCGCCTTTAAATACTTGACGTTCACTCATTTCTGTCTCCCTTCACTTTATTAAAAGCTCCTAGGGGAGCTGTGTGTGTGTGTTTTCTTCACTGCTATGTTTTCAACGTCTAGAATAGAGCGTGAACCACAGGAGGAGCTTAATAAATATTTGTTGGACAAATAAGATCATCATGCCTTATTTAAAAGATCGGACACTTTGGGAGGCCAAGCTGGGAGATTCCCTTAAGTCCAGGAGTTCGAGGCCAGCCTGGGCAACATAGCAAGATCCCGTCTCTACAAAAAAATAAAAATAAAAATTAGCTGGGTGGGCATGGTGGTGCGTGCCTGTAGTCCCAGCTACTTGGGAGGCTGTGGCAGGAGGATCGCTTGAGCTCAGGCATTCGAGGCTGCAGTGAGCTATGATCGCACCACTGCACTCCAGTCTGGGCAACAGAATGAGACCCTGTCTCTAAAACAACAACAACAGCAAAAACAACAAAAGATCGGGACCAAATATTGATCAGGATTTGTGGTGCCAGAAATGTCCCCTCTTCTCTCCCCTTCTCCTAGCTCATTCATCCCTCAAGTTCGTGTCAAGTGGCACATATTCTCTGAGACCCCCCCAGCCTGGGGAAGACCCCCTGTTACTCCCTGCGCTATTTCTTCAAAGCACTCAACTGCAGGACACAGTTCTAGAAATGTCAATGGGATTACAGGTCTGGTATCTCTCTCGCTAGCTCCATGGGCAACAACCGGATGTTTTCTTCGCCCCCTCTCTTCCTCAATCCTATCCCAGACCCCATGCCTGGGACAGAGTAGGCTCTCACTTGATATTTTCTAATCAGTTGGCAAATTATGACCGTCTCGAGTTGCCTGATGCACATTAGCATTTCAAAGGCTCTGATAAGTCCTGCAGAAAAGAAACTTGTTTCACCCAGCAATGAACACATCGATTAGACCACAGAGCATCCTTTTTCCAGCACACCTGGTACGACTGCCAGTGTCCCAAGGAGCACGTCTTGGGAAGCACAGCTATAACCGATCACTGGATTATCCAAGCAGCATAAACCGATCTGAAGTTTAATTTAGGAGGCATCTGAGGCGATGCTTTCCATGCAATGGAGATGAGCTGGAATGTCTCAGTGAGCATTCTAGCCACACCTGGGCTGTTACCTTGCCTGTGTGTCTCCAGGTGAGGTGGGGGGACAGCAGGGTTGCACTTCGTGGCCCCTGAGATATCTCCAGAGCCCGTACGTCACTGTGGGCTGTGTGGAGAGTCAGAGAGGGAGGTCCAGGTTTGGAGGCTGTTACGAGTGGATCGATGTCATAAGGGCGGTGATGGAGGTGATGTTGTGTGTGCGCGAATGTGCGTGGAAGAATGAATTCCTATCTTGGGGGCGGGCTTGAATCCCACAATTCCTTGCTGTGTTCCTTAACCCCTCCATACCTCAGTCTTGCCATCTGTGAAATGGGGCTTCCAGAGGAGCGCTTGAGATCACACCCAACAGACACTCAGCACATGGTCCGGCATGTGCCGGGTGTCTGGCAAAGGGCACCTGTCATTTCCCGGGACCCCCTTTCTCTCCCAGTGAGGGCGAGGTGAGTCCCCCCACCCCGCGTTGAGCTCCTGCCCTCTGATCCCAAACTTTCCACAGACGCTCTTCCAGAGCCCAGAAGAGGGCTGGCAGCTGTACACCTCGGCCCAGGCCCCCGACGGGAAATGCATCTGCACGGCTGTGATCCCCGCGCAGAGCACCTGCTCCCGCGATGGCAGGAGTCGGGAGCTGCGACAACTGATGGAGAAGGTGAGAACCTTCCAGGTGCGCGGGGGCCTGGGCGGCGGGGAGGCCGTGACAATCTCTCAACTCCCATCCCACCCTCCGGCCCCATTCGGGTCGGTCCCAGAGCCGGCTGATAGATATTTTATCCAGTATCTGTTCAATGCTTCCTCGGAAGGGAAGCCGAGTGCTTGTGTTGGGGGGTAGGGAGGCAGGAAGACCCCAGGGGCAGCATCTGGGGCTCCTGTGTGTGACCGGGCCCTGGCACGCCCCACTCAGCCCTTCAGCTGGCCAGACGCACCTGCTAAGAAGCTGTTCCGTGCCCCTTAGGAGGGGGGTCTCACCCTCCACCCCAAGAGGCTTGAATAAAACTTTCTTCCCCCTTTGATTGGTCCCCATTCAATACACCCCCAAGGATGTTTCATTGCCCCTTAGAGATGGAATGCCGCTCTCGACGCTGCTCGGCCGAACTGACCATTTGTTGGTTTTGATGCCACTGAGGAAAGGGACCGTTGACCTCCTCCCGTCATTCTATAGAGGAGGAAGCTGGGGCTTGGCAAACAGGAGAAGAGGGCTTGTCAGCACCAGAGTCTCTCACCCTTCAACTCCGCGGGATCCTACCCTGCCCACAACACCCACACTGCTTTCCCCGATAGTTTGGGACATGCATGTGGTGTCCTGCCATTGTCAACAATGGCTACACAGTAGTCTCGCTTATCCACCGGGGTAGGGGAGGGGAGGTACGTTTCAAGATGTTCCTCAGGGCCAGGCGTGGTGGCTCATCCCAGCACTTTGGGAGGCCGAAGCGGGAGAATCGTTTGAGGCCAGGAGTTCGAGATCAGCCTGGGTAAGGTAGTGAGACCCCGTCTCTACAAAAAAATACAAAAATCAGCCAGGCATGGTGGCGTGTGCTCCTGTAGTCCCAGCTACTTGGGAGGCTGAGGCAGGAGGATCACTTGAGCCCAGGAGCTGGAGGCTGCAGGGAGCTGTGATGACGCCACTGCACTCCAGCCTGGGTGACAGAGCAAGACCCTGTCTCTTAAAAAAACAAACAAACTCTATTTTAAAATGTTCCTTCTGGCTTCTGTGTGGAACGCGGACTGCAGATGATGAGGGTGGGAGCAGGGAGACCAGGGAGGAGGTGGCTGGACCAGGTGGGAGCGGTGACCAGGAGGGACAGATGCATGAACTGGATGTGCCACTGAGAGGCTGCTGGTAAGATCGGGGAGGACAGGGTGGCCTGGTTGGCCAGGTGTTGTGTGGCCTGTGGCCCCACCAGGCCTTGTCTGCGGCATCTCTAGGCTGCGGCTAGGGGAAGGAGTTCTGGTCTCCTGAACTGTCCCCACTCCTAGGTCCAGAACGTCTCCCAGTCCATGGAGGTCCTTGAGTTGCGGACGTATCGTGACCTGCAGTATGTGCGCGGCATGGAGACCCTCATGCGGAGCCTGGACGCTCGGCTCCGGGCGGCCGACGGGTCCCTGTCGGCCAAGAGCTTCCAGGTGGGTCGTTCTGGGTTTAGGCCAGAGGTGGAGGGAGTGGCTGGTGACTTGGTGCCCGTTAGTTCCAAGAGTGGGGTCGCTCGTGGGTGGGAAGAATCTAGGGTCCAGTCTGGGCCAGGTGTCAAGGGCAGGTGTGTGCACCCAAGACAGAGGTTGGAGTCACCTCTGGGTCCCAGGCCAGGGGTCAGGCTTGGCGACGGGTCCGTCCTGGCCGGCAGGAGCTGAAGGACAGGATGACGGAGCTCCTGCCCCTGGGCTCGGTGCTGGAGCAGTACAAGGCAGACACGCGGACCGTCGTGCGCCTGCGGGAGGAGGTGCGGAATCTCTCGGGCGGCCTCGCGGCCATCCAGGAGGAGATGGGCGCCTACGGGTATGAGGACCTGCAGCAGCGGGTGGTGGCTCTCGAGGCCCGGCTCCACGCCTGCGCCCAGAAGCTGGGTATGCCTCGACCCCTGACCCTGACCCCTGACCTCCGCAGCCAACCCCAATCCCACCGGTGTGCCCAGATGCTCGAAATGAATGGCTTCCAACCTCTTGCCCCCAACCGAACTCCATAGTGGGACCAGATTTTTGAATCCTTCATACGCATCCCCACTCCCCGCCCTGGTCCTAGCTCTTCCCAGTCGGGTCACGACATTCCATCCTTGTCCTGCCTCTCTCGGTCCCTTTCTTCCCCCACCTTCATTCCTCCCATTCCTGCCTCCCAGGCTGTGGGAAGCTGACTGGGGTCAGTAACCCCATCACCATCCGGGCCATGGGGTCCCGCTTCGGCTCTTGGATGACGGACACGATGGCCCCCAGCGCGGACAGCCGGGTGAGTGAGTGTGCCCTCCTCCTCTGTAGGTGACCAGGGATCCCACAACAGTGACTCTCTCGTAGCCCCCAAATGTCCTACGTCTCCCTTGGACTCCCCTTGACCAGCTAGTGGGCACCCACTGGCCAAGGATGCTCCAGCCCTGTGAATCCCAAAGTCTGTTGACCTCCAACAACTATATAGGCCACTACTGACCAGTTTCCAGTGACCACTGACCTCTAAGTAACTGCCCAGTGAACAATCCTTTCCCAAGGACAAGAGGCCCTCCCAGCACTGCTCGATGACCTTGGACTTCCAGGCCCTCCGTGGTCAGGACTGCCCATCCCTTAGACCCACAAGAACCATCCATGAACTGCCTAATGACCGTCCTGCAATGGTGACCTTCCCAGCGACTGACATTGGTCCCTGGGTGGCCACTGAGTGTCAGAGATGATAGGAGGTGACTACACACCATTCCGCCATGACCGCTGGTCTCCCAGGGAGGATGGTGGTTCAGCCAATCGTTCGGTTTGGGAATCAGACTTGGATTTGCATTCCCGTTCCCCCACTTCTTAGCTAGGGAATCCTTTAATTTCTTTATCTTTAAAATGGTCACGATAATGTCAGCATTCAAGATTTTTAAGAGTCTTAGCTCAGTGATAAGGGCACTCACAAATGCTAATTAACATCCTCCTTCATGAGGAGGATAAGGGATGACGATGATGAAGATGGTGATGACGTGCCTGGTCACCTCGGGGTTACAGGGGTAACCGCTGGAATTCGGCGACCTCTTATCACCCAGTGGCTGTCCAGAGACCACGAGCCCTCCAATGACCAGCGAATTCCCGGGCCCAGTGAGTCCCCAGGGACTGCAATGCCACCCCCCACCCAATCCTTTGGGATCAAGTATCATCCACTTAGCGTCTGTTTTATTTAAGACCAATGGTGCCCCCTGGGACTATGATTGGTCATGAATGGCCAACGCAAGTCCCGTAACTGAATAATGACCACTTAGCGACCATGGCTGCTGCCTGCGTGGCTGCTGGGACTCTTGGGTCACTGGCAGTGGCTTCCCCACTGACCCGCGGCTGCTTCCCTAGGTCTGGTACATGGATGGTTACTACAAAGGCCGCCGGGTCCTGGAGTTCCGCACCCTGGGAGACTTCATCAAAGGCCAGAACTTTATCCAGCACCTGCTGCCCCAGCCGTGGGCGGGCACGGGCCACGTGGTGTACAACGGCTCCCTGTTCTACAACAAGTACCAGAGCAACGTGGTGGTCAAGTATCACTTCCGCTCGCGCTCCGTGCTCGTGCAGCGGAGCCTCCCGGGGGCCGGCTACAACAACACCTTCCCCTACTCCTGGGGTGGTTTCTCCGACATGGACTTCATGGTGGACGAGAGCGGGCTCTGGGCCGTGTACACCACCAACCAGAACGCGGGCAACATCGTGGTCAGCCGACTGGACCCGCACACCCTGGAGGTTATGCGGTCCTGGGACACCGGCTACCCGAAGCGCAGCGCGGGCGAGGCCTTCATGATCTGCGGCGTGCTCTACGTCACCAACTCCCACCTGGCCGGCGCCAAGGTCTACTTCGCCTACTTCACCAACACGTCCAGTTACGAGTACACGGACGTGCCCTTCCACAACCAGTACTCCCACATCTCCATGCTGGACTACAACCCCCGGGAGCGCGCCCTGTACACCTGGAACAACGGCCACCAGGTCCTCTACAACGTCACGCTGTTCCACGTCATTAGCACCGCCGGGGACCCCTAGGCGCCGCCTGGCTCAGGCTGCCGCACAGCGGGGGCGAGGGGGGCTCCCTGGGGGCCTTTCCCACTCTGCCTGTCCCTTAAGGTTGACCTTTCTGTCTCTGTCGCACCCTCTCCCTCTCTCCCCACCTCTCTGCCCTCCGCATTTCTATCCATGCAATTTCTCAGTTTCATCTCTTCTCCTTTCTTGATCTCTGCTTTTGATACTCTACTTTTGTCTTTCTGCCTTTTTACTTACTGATGTCCCTCTGTCTCTTTCTCTTGCCCTGTCTCTG